AATGATATTGTCAGCAAGACTATGAATATATATTAGATCTGAAAACGAACAAAAAACACAGAAGAAACCCCCCCAAAAAAGTATATAATAATGATTTAAACAACACTAGTATCAATAATACTAGTGAAGCCCAGCCAATGAAAAAAATGACAAAAAACAATAACAACAATATTAACAATAATAACAAATATACAACATATAACTACCAACAATATGACACAACAGCAATATTAGATAAAAGCAACTGTAGAAGAAGCTAAAGGAAATGCTACCACGACAACAACTACGACTAATTATAATAACAGTAATGATGATGATGATGACGATGGCTACTATGATGATGATCATAATGATAATAATAACAATAACAACAAAAAAACAGCAATGATAATTATAATACTAATGATAAAAAAAATGATAATATTGATAATAATAATAATGATAATGACAACAATAATAAATGAAGATGATGATGAAAATAATAACTAAACCAACTAAACCAACAACAACAATCATTGTCATCATGACATTGCATATAATCATAATCGCAACAAAGACACACAAAAAAGTGAGGTAATGACGTAATATATTAATTATAAGTGATAGTAATAACATTAACAATAAGAGCAATAACAATAAAAATAATAACTATAATAGGAATAATAATAATGATAATAATAATAATAATAATAATAATGATAATAATAATAATAATAATGATGATAACAATAATAATATCAATAATAACACTAACAACAGCAGTAGCAACAACAACAATAACAAAAATATCAATAATGATAATAATAACAATATCAATAATAATAATAATAATAATAATAATAATAATAATAATAATAATAATAATAACAATAATAATAATAATAATGATACTACTACTACTATTACCACTACTACTGATAGTAACATTAATAGCAATATCAATAGCAATAGTAACGGTAATAATAATAAAAATGTAAGATTAATAAAGACAGCAATAATGACAAATTACAACGATGATGGTGATTATGAGGAAGGTGAAGATGATAAAAAAATAATGATGATGATAATGATGATAACAATTATAATAACAATGGTAATAATATAGATAATGGTAATAGTGATAATAATAAAAAATAATATTAATAAAAATAAGAGGAATGACTATAATGATGATGATAATGATAACAATATGAAAATGATTATGATAATGATAAACATAATAATGATAATAATGATGATGATGGTGATACTACTACTATTACTAATAATATTGATAATGATAATGATGGTGATAATATTAATAATAATAATAATAATAATAATAATAATAATAATAATAATAATAATAATAATGATAATAATAATAATAATGATAATAATGATGATGATAATAGTAATAAAAAAAATAATAAAAAATAATGATAATAATTCTAATAATAATAATGATAATAATTCTAATAATAATAATGATAATAATATTTATAAATATATATATATATATATATTTCTAAAAAATAATAATGCTAATAATGATAACAACAACAACAACAACACTGATAATGATAATAATAATAATAATAATGATAATAACAAAAAATAGAGAAATTATAAAAAAATAAAAATAAGAAAAAATAAGATGAAAAATAAAGAATAACAAATAAAAACTAAATAATAGTGAAATAATCATAACAGCAACAATAAGAACGATAAGAGCAATCCTGACAATAAGTACAAAACCATAATACGACAGCAAGAGCAACATATGTCTTAACATTATCACTAAGATAAAACATCTCCTTTATCGCTCACAACAAACTGCTTCCATAAAAAATAGCTGATTATAAAGACTAATTACAGCACCGATTTTAATTTTCTTTTGCAACACCAGCAATAACTCGATCAAAATGACAAATACGGTGAAAATAATAACGACCGTGGAGCTTCATTCCTACTTCTGATGTTACTACTACTACTACTATTACTACTACTACTACTACTTCTTCTACTACGACTACTACCACTATTACTACTACTAATACCATTATTATTATTCTTACTACTACTACTACCACTACTATTAATACTATTCTTACTACTTCTTCTTCTACGACGACTACTGCTATTACTGCTAACGTCTCTACTACACTCAGTAACAACGAAGGATGGCAACATTAATAACATAACAGTGGCTGGAGTAAAATAATACAAACAAACAAACAATAACATCACCATTAATGACGAAGACAATACTAACAATGAAAGCAATATGGGAATTAAGTGTGACAGCAGTATAAACAACAACAAACAGAGATCCCGTAAATCGATAAAGAATCAGTAACGCCAATATTGCCACCTGTATGAATGACAAGCATGTCCCGTGGCCTTAATCAGCCAAGGAATTCTATTGATAAGCCTTTCCTAAGCTCTAGATCCTTATGGCGAAATCTTCCTCGTCATCTATCTACACGTGACGCACTCAGAATTACGTAACACTGAGGAGAAATCACCGTCCATTGATCTGATTTCTTGGGGTCATTTTGCTGCGACGCCTTGAAGCTGATCTCTGCCTCGTTATTGGCGATTAAGACTGTGCAGCGATTGACGGAAGTTGCAATCGCACTTGAAGCCTGCCACTTGTTGGGTGACGAGCTAAGACGCTAATTACGGACGTGTGTGCCGCTTAATCACATTATACTGTGTAATTAAGCGACTGAAGTGACGCAACGGAAATAGCGGTGGCAAGTTCAAGGTTACGAACACAGGCTTTATTCAAATTCATGAAGAGATCCACTGAATACTAATTTAATGATACAAGAGGATATGCGGACATAAATTTTGAATTAAAGGCTGTCAGTAAGCTCGCCAGGAGTCGAGTCTAGTCAACAAGAGCAACTCTAGTTCAGAAACACTAGATTCCAGGCGGTGTCCGATTCGCTGCAGGAGCGGTTTCCTCTTACACGGAACATGCTGTACAAGGCTACGCCTACGGACAGTCAGAGGCTTTGCACAAGAGTACAAAACGATAGAGTCCAGGAAATCAATATGAAGAGCCATGTGTATGTGTTTACTAGGTGTCTGCAACATCGGAGTCGGGGTGATGTGTGTATGTGTTATACATACACATATGCATGCATGCATGCACGCACGCACGGACGCACACACACATACACGCACACACGCGCGCACGCACACACACACACACACACATACGCGCGCGTATACACACACACGCATACATACACACACACACACACACACACACACACACACACACACACACACACATATATATATATATATATATATATATATATATATATATATATATATATATATGAATATGTATATATACATTAATTTATATGTATATATATATATATATATATATATATATATATATATATATATATATATATATATATATATATGTACATATTCATATACATATGCATAAATATAAACATATACATACGCATACATATAAGCACACACACCCATGTATATATATATTTAGCGAGAAGGAGGGTAAGAGGGAGGGAGGGAGAGAGGGGGGGAGAGAGAGAGAGAGAGAGAGAGAGAGAGAGAGAGAGAGAGAGAGAGAGAGAGAGAGAGAGAGAGAGAGAGAGAGAGAGAGAGAGAGAGAGAGAGAGAGGGGGGGGGGGGGGCAGACAGACAGACAGAGTTTGTGAATTCTGCAAATGCCTACAACCAGAACTATTGCAGCAAGGTACTTCACACGTTCAGAGACAATAGTATTTCACAAACAACGATAAAAATGCCGCCGTGATGATGCACCGGCACAACCCGTTTCTCTGAGCCCCCATCTAGAGTGACACAAGGCAGGTTTATATTGGCAAGCTTATGTGACACGGATCTAAAATACTTTCAAAGACGACCGGCTGTACTTTACATTATTCAGGGTTGGTTCTCGCTTAGAAAAACATGCCTTCGTTACATTTTTAATCGGGGAATTGATACATGGTGTTAAGCACTCGCTACCGATGTAATCCTGACGCATATCCATGTATTCTTCACCAAAATACAAAGCAAATTTAAAATAACAAGGTAAAAATCTAGGTTCAAATTCAGAACACGAAAGAAAGGCCGAAAGTGGCGCCACGGTCACCATGCACAAGAACAGGTAATGGTTAAAGAATGTACGGCGCTGTACTGCGAACTTCCCCGTGCACGTATGTGTCGGGTTTACATGGTGGAATTTCCTTCTCAGAATCTATTAAATTTCAATGGCATTTATGGATAACTGGGCATATAAGATGGTTCATTAAACGGACGTAATCTTCAGTTCGTGGTTTAACGTTATGTTCACTGCACGGTGTGCTGTGGGTTGGCGATATGTTATATTAGCGTTGAAATATGACGGACAAAGATTTTCAAACAATTCCACGATATGAGTTTGGACTTTAATATCATATGCTTTACTTAATAAAACATACATGCAACCGGGAGCTAAAACAAAGTAATGTTCACCTGAACAAACAAAAACGAATTTCATGGTGGACATGTTCACCAAAACTTTATTTAACAGTGAAAAAATGCTGAACATTTCAAATCTTCGTACTGCAAGCACTTAAACATAACTTAGGTGTAAAAGTCCATGAAGCCTTTTTTGCTGTCCACGAGCTAGTTACGTAAGAAACGAGACGGATATCGTGCTTGTAGGGCCTCTGAAGTGTCGTTCAGCAGCGCCTTCAGACCCCAGCTTCACACTTTAAGTAGGATATCACGGAAACATTACAGAATACAGACGTTGCGTCACACCTCTGAATTAACATGCCACAGTAAGTGGGTCCGCGCATTTTCTTTCGTTACACCTTAGGTAAACAAACCTGAGCATGTCCAACGCACCGTGGGACCGTTCTAATGCCAGTTCGAGGGCAGGGCGACGGCACAGCAGCACCTGGAGGCTCTGATTCACCTCCGGGTAAATGTTTACGTCTGGGCCAGGGCTGGGGCCCTGCCGCGGCCGCTGGGACTCCTACCTTTTTGGCAACTTCTTCCTCGGACATTCCAGGCATTTGTTGTGTTTTGGAGGCTGACGTGGACGTGGATGTTTGACCTCTTGTCTTATCGACCGTAAAGGAGTGAAGGAAGACCACTACCCTCTGCAATATGTTGACCACTCTGAGGAGCGACAGTCCTCTCTCGTCACTATCCGCCGCAGCGACTATCTCCATCATCGCTCGAACCGTGGTTTTATCGACTAGTCTTGCCTGGTCTGAGTCGGGTTGAGGCTCACTTCAGCAGGAGTTGAAGGGGAGGGGGGCGGTGCCTCTGCTGCTCCGCCAGCCACGCGCAACTGCCGTCTGCTGGTGCCCGGTCACCTTCCTTGACGTCACGCGCGCACCCCCCGGCTCCCTTCTAAACATTTAAATTTCCCCTTCTTCTCGCCGGGAACATTTTGCATCTCGACGCGCTCCGGTTTCGATCGTACGTGGATTTGTTGCCCTTCGGATAGCAATGGTGCTCTCAATCGACGATTTCCCACCGGCGTTCCTGGCCGCAACCCAATTCCACGGAAGGCTTTCCTAAGCCGCGTGAGAAGTGCGGCGCGAGTGGCTGTCGCGGGGGCAGCCGGGGGTGTGCGAGGCGCGGCGGCCAATCGCGGCGGCGGGAACAAAGGGCGTTGCCTTCCCTCCGACAAATCAATACTCGCTGCCTGAAGATCTACACGTAGCATTCCTAAACCACGTGACGCACTTGCATCATTCACCTCGATTAAGAATATGTGTTCGTTTTCCCGTTTCCTAAGCGGATGTAAGCGTCACGTAGGTGTATGTTATTCCCGCCAGAAGCCGGTACGCTTTGAGTACGCGCGCGCGAGGAAACGGCACAAAGTCATAACAAGGGCAAACAACAAAGCATGGTCTTCATTCATGCCTTCTCGGGTTATGTTGCGGTTCATTAGTCTCCTGATTAAATGATTGCTTACGTTTGAGAACAAACAATAAACAATTCAAACCGAGTGTTGACAATAGAAAATCCCTTGTCTGCTTTAAAATGATTTTCTCCCGACATAAATAGCTTAATATTTTTTGACCAACATTTTTTTTTTCTCTTTTTTATGAGAATGCAGTCTGTGATATGAGATAAGATATCACTCATTCATTTTTCGGCGAGAACCTCCACAGCCGACAAAGCCTCAGACTTAGTCACCCTCACCCACAGACATTCCGTAGTAGAAAGCACAAACACTTGAACGTACGAGCTCACAGTACACAAACACACACACACACACACACTACAAACATAAACACAATCACATACACACAAAAGTACAGACACAAACACAGACGCATGCAAAACACACACGCACAATACAAACAAATACAAACGCACAGAAGCACATACACATCTACGCAGACGCATGTACAAGCACACACACGCGCGCGCATACATACATGTATACATATGTAATGGGGAGGAGGCGAACAAACACACAGGAAGAGCATACGTGAAAAAAGTTTCAGCTGGAGAGGGGGGGGGCAGCCGGAAGCACTCAGCAGGTGCGTAAGTGTACATTCATACAAAGATCTCAACACGTGTATATCCACCTCTCGCGGTTTCTCTGCTTAAATACATTTAGGTATTTCCTTTGCGTAGTTTAAGCTTAATCAACGGAAGGGCTTGTAAGTTAGCTTCCAAATTTCTCCAGACTGAACATTTGCTCAAATCACACGTGACTCGCTGTACGTGTTCATACCAAGAATTTACCACGAGGACTATCCAATAATTACTGATTTGAAGACCATCACATGTATTCTTATCATTGTCCATATTTATTTTTTAAATAGATTCATGAAGAAAGAGAAAATAAAAAAGAAAATATTATTCATTCCTCTTTTTTCATACGCTGTCTCTCACTTTCTACCATCGCTCGCCGCGCCATGCTCTCCTACGGTACCATCAACAAGTGTCATTCAAAAAAACATAAGCTAAAGGTCCTTTCTGGCGAGACTAATCGAATACGGATGATTCCAATAACCTACAACACACATCTCGATTACTTTCCCATTCTATCAGCAGAATGGAAGGGAATTTATCTAGTTCTGTATCTCTCGCACCCTAAAAAAGGGACTGGTTTTAATCCCTCCCAAACAGGTTTTCGAGCGTAGTAGAGTAAGTGTTCAACCCCATGACTCGAAGATTATCAGCCGACTGGAAAAATATAAGAAAGACAATATCCTAGTACTCGAACACACCTAGTACTCCTGGATTTCATTAATTGTACAGAATCGAAACACCTCTTCGGATTTAATGCTTTGGATGTTAACTTTAAGCGATTTGATACAGTGAAAGGAAAATACATAGACAGAACATCAGTCGGAAACTCGAATCCAGGATCATATACCCGAGATTCGGAGGAGAAAGCTACATTTTCTCCATTAATATCACCAGCTTCAAAGATTTTATCGGAAGAAAACAAGTTTTTATGTGACTGATTTTGGTAAAAGAGGAACAGGAAATAATGTTCATACAATGAATTGGATGACCGTTCAACCATAGCCTCATGCTAAAAACTGAAATGGAAATAGGATAATAAGTGATAATAAAAAGTTATTGTGATATTGACCTCAACAAATAACAGTGAAGATAACAATGAGATAGTAAATGGCACTGAAGGTGGTCATAACAACCTGCATAATTCTGGATAATCCCACTAAGCAGCGTCATTGGCGAGGATTATGTGCAACTCCGTCCTTAACCCGCATCACGTCTTGTCTGACCATTTTTTTATTAACTGGATGCCCTTCCTGACACCAACCTTCCCCAATTATGCTTTATTTTTATCATCATCACCATCATCATCATTAAAGTTAGTTGCAGTAGAATTAGTAGTATTAGTAGTATTGCCACTACTATATCTACTACTACTACTACAACTAATGATAATGATAATGATGATGATAACAATGATAAGAATACTAATAATAATGATAAAAATAATGATAATGATAATAACAATAACAATAATGATAATAATATGAAACATTTATAATGCTAATGCTAATAATAATAATAATAATGATAATAACAGTAATAACATTAATGATGATAATGGTAACGATGATGACAACAACAACAACAATAATATAAGCAACTGCAGCCCCCCCCTCCCCCCATTCCCGTGCGCTGGCCCCCTGCAGTCGCACGAGTCTCTCCCTACTACACGGGTCGTATGCATGAGTTGCCAATTAGGATATATATGAGTCACTCGCACCTGACTGCCGAAAGGAGGGCGACGAGAGGGGTGCGTGAGGGGAGGGTTTAAGGAGGAAGGGGAAAGGGTTGATGAAGAAGAGGGTAAAGGGGAGAAGGAGGAGGAGAGGTGGATACAGAAAAGGAGAGTAGAAATAGAATTGGAAACTGAAGAAGGATAGGGAAGGAAAAAAAAAGAAGGAAGGATTAAGTGTAGTAAGGAGAAGAGTGAGAAACAAGGAGGATAAAGAATTCGAAAATAAAAAAATGAAGAAGAGGAATAGATGCAACCCCGAAAAAACAAAACAAAACAAAAAACAAAATGAAACGAACGAATGAAACAACAAAACAAACCGCAGATCGTTCATTACATCTGTGCTTGTTAAGCCACATGCTATCATTAGTCACCACCCACCTAGTTGAGCCAGTCATTGCTGTACGCTCGTTTTATTGCTCATAAGGATCATAATAAGACGTGCATATGCTAAATATCTTGATACAGATTTCAAAACAAGCAAAGAATAATCACTGTTTATTGATGTGAAGACAACTTGAATCAAAGTATGCGTTTGAGTATGTAGCATATTCATTTTCATTTACTACGGGTCTAACCTCATGACGCTCGCTATGGAGGAAATAAATATTTTTAGAGTGTAGAGCGTAGACTCTTGGCGAGTGTCCAAGGAACATGACTGTGTGGAGCATCTTTTACATTAGCATTTGTTACTTATCTTTCAAGATCTTTTTACTGAATGTCTTCACGGAAACCTTATTGTTGTAAAGGAAAGATGTACACTGTACATTTTATTCGTCTGCAGGTATGAGGAAGAGCAAAGCAATACTGATTCTGTCGCAGCCAAATACTCAAGGTTAGCTTTTTATTGTTTTTCTTTTTTTCTCTCTCTTATTTTTCTGTTTACTGTCCTTGGTGCCGAGGATAAGGCATTGGCCGGCCACTTCGCTGCACATACATCACAAATTCAACCCATTTCTGCCCGGCATTTCCGATTCTCTTAAGACTTCCTTCATTTTTGTTTTATCTTCTTCCGAGTTTCGTCTTATCTCCGGTTATCATTTTTTTACACGTATTAGTCACACACTTTATCTTTATCATCTCTGTTACTTACCCTCTGATTTTTGTCATTGGCAGTTCAGTGGGTTCAGAGGATATTGATTCATCAGCGACGTTCTTCCCAAAGCACAGTTCCCGCCGTGACATTGCCCGGAGTACGAGCATTAAGCTTTTGGAATTGATGCACCTCGAGTTAGGCCTCCCTGCGGGCCGGGATCAAGTACCAACCCGTTCCTCGAATTATGCTTAGGGAAGGGCGGCATCGGCTCAAAGACTGCACAACGAGTGTGCGGCTGATGACACAAAAGCAAAAGAGCTCCTGTTGATGACGAAAGACCGGCTGATGCAACGGGGACGCTGACCGTGCAACCGGGCTGCGTCTGGAGAGGTCGCTGGGGGAGAGGGTGCACGGGGGGGGGGGGGGGGAGTGCGTATGGGTGATGCGGAGCAGGAGAATAGGGTTGGAAAAAACGCCATTTTTTCGAAATGGATTTCATGTTCGCAATATAGGTACACGCTGCACAATTGAATAACACAAGGAAGATGCGAACAGTATTGAAATGGCAATTTGCTTTTCAATTTTCTGATTAAATAATACTTGCTAATGCGTAAGGTGGAGCAGAGGAGGAAATGAGGGTACAGAGAGAGCAAAGAGGTAAGTGAGGTAAGACGGGAGGGGGGAAGGGGGGGAGAGGGTGAAAGGGAGGGTGAGAAGGGCGAGCGGGAGGGGGGGAGGGGGGATCACGAGGCCCGGCGGGAGAAGGCATGGTGAAGGCCCGACCCTCGTGACCGCTGTCAAGGTCGTTCGCTTCCGCCGGATCACGAGTGGAAGAAAGGGAAAAACAGGCATGGGTGTGTGCGTCTGCGTCTCTGTACGTGTGCATGTTTACGTATGTGCATTTGTATCTATTTCAAATAAAAAGGCAAATACATCTTTTATCTGTTTAAAATGTTCGCATAAACATAACTCCGAAGATAAACACTATGTAAACTGAGGCTGTATGCTAGTGTTCGAAAGGATGAAGAACTTGCTGTGTACATAAGTATAGCGCGTCTTGTGAATACCTGTTACTCTCTGCCTGAAACGTTTCGATAACAAGAAACCACACAAGAAACCCCAGTTGTTGGATTTTTAAAAAAATAAATCAGATGCCATATTTACCCTTATCTTGGATTCGTCTGTAATCACA